CTCCTCGACTGATGAGGAGGGCGGTTGGAAAGAGAGAGGGAGACTGAGGGGCATGGAGGTGTGAGCGTGTGATGTGGCTCACGTGAGCCGAATCTCAAAGGTCCCCCCCTCGTAGGGCGTGCCGGCGGGGCCACGCAGCCTCGCCTGTCGGGTCGGCGGGGGCGGTAACGTGTGGTCGAGTATTGTGATACGTCGAGCGTGGATAGAGGCGGCTGCAGCTGTGGCGGCAGAGAGCTGTGGCGGCGGCGGCGGCGGCGGCGGCTGCAGCGGTAGCGGCTGCGGCTGCGGCGGCGCAGGAAGGCTTCTCGCGCCACAGCGGCGAGGAAAGCGGGTGGCCGCCAAGCTCGCCGTGCGACGGATGCTGTGGATGGCGGTCGTGCTTCGAGACCCTCGTGTGCCGCGCGCCTCCCACCCGTTGATATCGGCCTCGTCGGCCAGCGATAGCGAGATTTCTGGGTCGTTCTGCTTGGCGAGCTCCTTGTACTCCTTGAGCAGCCGGTGGTTCACCATCGAAAGCAGCCGGGAGGGAGTGCCTGCAGCAAGGCGCAGCGACGCCCGGCCGGGAAACCAGGTTCGTTGTGAAGAGCTGGGGCGCGCGCCACCCAAGAGAACAATCTCTCTCCCAAGAGCCTAGGTAGGTGCGGATCGGTTCTCGAGGTTCTCGAGGTGGATATCCTTTGGCCGCGTTGGGTAGCGAGGATTGGTGTAACCCGAGCCACGGAGGCGTGTTTTCTGACGGCCGACCGTCAGTGCACGGAGTTGCCCCTTCTCCGACTGCCCCGGCTAGTTCACGGGTTTCGCGGGAGTGACCCCATGCGTCAAACCCGAGACCTAGCGCGGGTGGGTTGGAGGGGGCTCGCCCCGTTCCTCCCCATCGGGCCGCATGAGCGGCCACGCCTCGCAGATTCGTTTCTCGCGTATCGGCAAGCGCCGCCACCACACAGGGATTTTAAGGAGAGGAGTGTGATGCGCTAGCCGTCGCCTACCCTAGGGAGTCTGCCTCTTCCTATCTCTCTTCGCAGTCTCTCTCCGATTCTCGCTTCAACCTTCGTGCCACCTCGCGGCCGTCCCACTCTCGTCGCTCTCTCCCTTGTCACTTCCTCCTCTGTCGCGTCGTTCTCTTCTGTCTCGTCCTGCGGCGCCGCCGCCTGCCGGTCCCTTGTTCTCGCGGCTTCTTTCGCCTTTCGGCGCAACTCCGTCCTCCTCGCGGCGTATCCTGGCCCCTCGAGTCTATCGAGCTCCCCTCGCGCAAGGACCACATTTCTGACTTGCGTAACGGTAAAAGAAAGAAAGAAAACAGACAACCCAAGGGAGGGATGGGAGGACGGCACGCCGCCACCACACAGGGATTTTAAGGAGAGGAGTGTGATGCGTTAGCCGTCGCCCACCCTAGGGAGTCTGCCTCTTCCTATCTCTTTTCGCAGTCTCTCGCCGATTCTCGCTGCAACCTTCATGCCACCTCGCGGCCGTCCCATTCTCGTCGTTCTCTCCCTTGTCACTTCCTCCGTCGCGTCATTCTCTTCCGCCTCGTCCTGCGCCGCCGCCGCCTGCCGTTCCCTTGTTCTCTCGGCTTCTTTCGCCTTTCGGCGCAGCTCCGCCCTCCTTGCTGCATATCCTGGCCCCTCGAGTCTATCGAGCTCCCCTCGCGCAAGGACCACATTTCTGACTCCCACTCCGATCATTTGCCTACAGGTCATGTTGTTGCTCAGGTCCACTCTCTCTTCGAAGACTCGTGCCTCTACGGATGATGCCGGCGCTGGGGTCCCCTTCGGATGCATCGTGACGGTTCTAGGATTTTTCTGATGTTCAGAATTCTTTTTGCGCGCCCCGATCACCGCTCGGACACAAGCCAAAACGCCTCCTCCGTCCACTCTCTCACGGCGATGCAGCCCGATCTCGAGCCGGCGCACGGCCGAGCCGCTCGTTGGCAGCACGCGCTCTCAAGCTTCGGCCTGCTCCTCACCGGCCGGCTTGAGCTCCGGAACGAGATCCTCTCTGCGCTCTCCGTGCACACAAAGACACCGTTCCAGCCGCGTGAGTCGCAGCGTGAGCACGAGGTGTGGGAGGAGCGCTACTTTGTGCTGACGCGCAAGGCACTGCACTACTACATCCGCGCGCGCGGCGACCGCTCCGGCAAGGACGGCATGTTTGGGAAGCACGAAGGCACCATCGGCTTCAACCGGATCGCGGCCGTCGTCGAGGACGCCGCCAACCGCGAGGTGGAGCTGGTGACGCGAGGCCCCGGCCGCAACTACGTCCTCCGCGCCAAGTCGCGCGCCGCGTACGAGCAGTGGGCCTCGACACTCCTCGCCGCCTCGCGCGACCAGTTTGGCTCTCGGGCCTAGCAGCGGGAAGATACGTGTTGTCGTATTCCAACTAGGAGGACAAGTACTCGACCGTAGTCCGCCGTACAGATTGCACTCACATTCCTCGCATTCGCGCGTACCCGCCCTGATGTTGGTGTGATCATCTCGTAGGCTCCCTTGACCACTTCTCGTCGTCGGGATCGCTCAAAAACATCCCGTCGTTGATCGACTTTCGCGTGCCGCCGCCGCCGCAGTCGCCGCAG